AACTTTACTAATTTTTTGTTGTATAATGTATGTATTAATTTAATTTTATGATCGTTTAAGTATATTATGGCCCCCAAATGCCCTGGTACGGCCGAGAGTGGGAAGAGTTCGCTCTCACTCTCGAAATGCTTTCACATAGCCACGCGTATATAGCCTCTGCCAGGGAAGTCCTACACACTGTCTTCTCGTGGTGGGGGTGTTGGTTACGAAAATGAGAGGACGAAAAGCGAATGTCCGGATTGGTGGACATGGAGAGTCCACCTAGGGGAGTTGGAAAACCCTGATTCCAAACCACTGGTGCACATGGGATCCAGTATCCTGAAGAAACAAATGCCGTATGAACCAATCGTAGGTCACCGGCTACCATGGGACTGCATCTCCTTACGTTGCTCCACGGCCTTGTGGATCAGACCTTTAGGTGGAAGGCCCCAGGTGTGGCCCCCTAAGAAAACCGCCTGGTTCGGTTTGGGTACCCGGGTAGTATCACAACCCTCACACATATCAAATGAGATTTGTGTGGCGCATATGTATTTGGTGCATCCTTGTACCAATATCTATGTGTTAAAATAAAAATAAATAAATAAAAGTTTATTATATCTTGATGGAGTTTTGTTCTGTGAGCTGGATGGTTTGGTCATGTTTTTCTTTAAAGACCAGTGTCCTCTGACGGACTCGATCCATTGTTATCTAGATCCACGTAAAGAGAACAAAAATCCATCAAGATCATCCACTGGAGCTACAAATTTTCTACACCATCTCAAAGTAAATTATATCTTCTCATTGTTTTAATCTAATTTCATATAATTAATTTTGAATACTGACAAATACTTGCCATGTTTTTTTAATCTTATTTTATTATTTCAGATATTATTCAGTAAATACTTGAACTGACAATGAAGTTCACATCGATAATACTGATCAACATAATATGCTCTATTAGCCAATGAGATTCTTATTGGTTTCTGATCATTCTAGTATCCTGAGCTCTTAGGACAACAGATTTTCTAGTTTTTTTTTTAGAAACATAGAAACTTTCCCAAGTGAATTCTAAATGAAAACCAGAAGTTTTACTTTCACGGTTAGTTTACACACATAAATCAAGTGGCTATTTATGAAGTTGTGGGTGGGGTTGTAGTTCTGGAGGTTTCTGTTAGAGATTATTATGTTATTTATATCTAAGATATTTGATCTTTTAAATGTACTAATTGGTTACTATAAAGCAGAATTGAATAACTTAGCTATCGATTATGGGAAGCTTTCAATGTGATTTCAGATTACCCACAAATTAATTTTTTTTTTGTTTAACGGACGATTATCCTATAAGAATTGAAAAATTATCAAACTTCCTGAATCAAAATAAGTAAATGGAATGAATTACAGTTTGAAATGTGGAAAATTGGATACTAACTCAATGGACGAAATGTAACTTAATTTTTACTTGTTTAAGTTCATTTGTGATCTAAATTGGGTAGTGAGAAGTAAAAGTTCAATGCTTTAACCATTAAATCATACCATTATTTTGGCTTCGTTCGTCTTAAACAAGTGTAACTCAGTCGAGTTTGTTATAATCTCCTCTGACAAACGTATTAAAATTCCGTTACAAAGTCATAAAAAAGTGACTATCATTTCTCAACAGTATAAACGCTTAGTGTCTTTTACATTTTTCGTAATATTTGGTAGTAATACCATTTAGTTTCATGGTGTAATGAAGTTTTAAGTTTAAAAATAAGGGTGTATACTTTTATGCTTTATAAAGCATGTGATACAAACTAAAATGATAAAAGTTTATCAAGCTGGAAACTTCACTCATATCACACTGATTTACAATAAGCAGAGTGTCTTAAAGATAAACCTACCAAATTTTGTTTCTTTCATATACATTGATTTAATACTTTGATTAAGTAATTCCTAATACCTTGATTCTCTTATTTCTTCTTTCTCAACATCAAAAAAAGTCTTTTCCCATTTTTATTTTAACTCTACCTAGCTCAATTCATCCTAATTCAACTGTTATGATCACTGATTTTATTGATTAGTGTTGATATGTCACATTGTGTGAAGACAATGAGAATTATCGACTCCTGATAACATATGGTAAATCACATAGATTTCACAGTGTTCGCAAATCGATTGAAGTATAAACAACTCGTAAAAAAAGGAAAACAATGTAAAAAAGTATTGCAGAATTAAGAAGGAAACATACTTTGAATAAAAACAAATTAATGATTTAAAAGAGGTGAATGTTGCAAGCTAAAGAGGGAAGACAACTTATGCTACCATTCTCTCTCTTCCCCATTCTAAAACTTCTATTCTCTATTCTTTTGTGACATTAAGTGAATAAATACGTAAAAATGAAACTAGCAATTAAACTCAGACAGAAAAAAATCCCCACCCATGTTTTATTTATTATCATGTTTCGAAAAAAATACTACTTAAATTTCAATTAAGTAGACAGAAAACAAGCGCGAACATTGAGACGTGTAGAATTGGCGAGAAAAAACCAAGCAGATTACAATGACTTGAAGGTGATTACTTCTCAACAAAACATGGATACGTTTTGTGAAGTGAAATGATGAAACAAACACCACTTCAATTCAAAATAGGATATGTACTGTGGTTTTTCTTTGAATAAATGTTTCCCTTTTAATTAAAGAAGGTCTTAAGAAATAACTAAAATAAACACTGATTTATTTTATTGTTGTATAGGCAAACGACAAATTCATTAGCAAATAAATAGAATGTCTTCATAAACTGTTTTGAAGGTAGTTGTGTCAGGATGTCGTTTATCGCTATTTAGATTCCTTAAAACCTATCAAAATAATGTATTTGTAATCTATCAAAAGAATCAACGTACTCAATCAAGTGTCAACTCATATCTTTTTAATATCAAAGTGAGGAATTCGTCAAATGACTTAGCTGAGGTATGGGTGACCCGAAATAGAGGTTTAATTTATTTAAAGACTAGCTCAAGTATCCTGAATAGTTTCATTGAGAAGTGATGTGTGTATTCAATGTCTACCACAATTGAATATCATTCGGTCATTGAACAATGTTCTCAATAGCATGGTAGATAACAATTTTTTCAAGAGAATTTTAACACTGATCTCACTTTAGGATACTATTTTATTGTTGATTCTTAATTGAATGTAAAATACAGGGTAGTAAGTAAACAATTATTGTATAAGAACACTGTTTTCACAATTGTGTGGTCTATTTCATTCTTAGTAGATAAGTATTTATACCTCAGTAATGTTCAACAGAGTACCTTTATAATGACGTGAAATTTTTTAAACTAACAGTCATGTGGAAATTTTCAATCATTTGGAAGAAAAAATTAAAGTCTAATCAATGTACACGCAACTACTTTTGATCATTTTATACGGATTATAAAAAGAAAACGAGATTGAAATCCAGGAGTTAATATTTCTCAGCTGATTAATTTGTTGCCGAGTATATGCGAACTTCTCGCTGGTTGATTGGTTATTTCTTTTCACTTGATCAAGTAAATCTCCATATAACTAAATTACCTTAAAAATTAGCCTGTTGAATTTATCTGAACAGTTATAGAATATTTGTTGATGATTTACGTCATAAATTGATTTCAGTTAGTATACCAATGAAAATTAGGGAACACTGAGTAGATGGAGTTTTTTTCTCTGAGCTGGATAGAAATTTGTGCTGGTGATGTCGTTCAGAAGAAAGCTCCACAACCAAACCATCCATCTCAGAGAACGAAACTCCATCAAAATCATCCACCTGAGCTACAAATCTCCACCACATCAACACTGAATACCTCTTTCCTATTAGTATGAGGGAACATAAAATATCATGACAAATATCAGTTCCAAGACTTCCAGATTTATAGACAGTCGCTTGTGCAGAAAACGCTAATGAACGAATTAATGATCTACGTCAATGGCGAATCAATTGTGAATACCAATAGTGATCACCAATAAATCCTATCTGCAGTGTTAGAGTGATGAAAGCACTTGATTGTCCCTTCACTTATTCAAAGTAATCAGTGCTTGAATCAGTCACTAATATGAACAATAATAGTGACTATTGTTTTGTTACAGGAAACTAATGTCATTGTTATTTTGTTCAGTATAAACTGATAACATGAAGTAGAGAAGGAATAGAATTGAGGGAAAGTAAGATGTATTTTTTGACATTGTGTAAGTGTAGTTGTTTCGTCTATGAGGCTAATGTTATAAATGTTGATTGGACAGAAACGAGTAAACGATTTTTATTAACAAATTAAAAGTTCAGTAGTATGAATGATAGGTAAGTAATATTAATGAATTTTAACAAATGTCACTTATCCGACGGTGTACACTTTAAAGTTAATCACAATACGTATGAAGCATCTACTAACTGTTGAAATCGGATGATGACCATACTATATCTACTAATACTGGAAACTGCAGTTTAAGTATGCGATGCTCACTGTAAGACTTATGTTATTGAATTAGTTCCATAAGAAAACACTGTTAAAGAATTTTCAGTAACAACAAGATGGAACACATGTCAATTATCCCTAACTTTTCAATAGGTTCTCCAGAGAATTTCTTTCGATGATGAAAACTATTTCTCAATAGATCTAGACAGATCGACTGTATGAAGAGCAATTAGTATTCCAATTCTTTTGAAAAATTAACGTCTACCACTCAAAAACAAGAACTGGTTAGGTATGAAGATAGAAACTACAATTTATTGATCTAATGATATTCATTACTAGTAGGAGCTCAACACATATTACTTCTCAGTTAAATTATTCAACATTCATCAATCAGTACTGCTGACTGACCTTGATAGTCCTATGGTGATGAGATCTTGGAGATCAATTTAATCTGAAGAAGCACAGCTTTTGGCTAGTACTTAATATTATGATTATTATTTCATGATAATTCTCCATCACAAATCATTGTTTGTTCATATCTTTAATTAAAATAACCTTTAAATAACCTGACCGAAAAATCTCTTAATAAAATTAAGCTTACTATCAACTTGGCGTTCAGAAATGACCACAATAAAGATAGTTAACGGGTGTTTACACGTGTATGTATGTATCCTCTGATTGTTGCTACCACTGGAAGATAATCTAATGAGAAAAACAAAGAAAAAGAGAAGAGATTATAGTAAAAAATTATTTCAATTAGAACAAATAATAGCTTTTCATAGTCATGTAAATTTAACTAGGAATAACGACCACTTTAACCTGATTTTAGTAAAGGACGGTATGAATAAGTATGTAGTTCTTCATTAATGATAGATAAATACATCAAATCACCTGTAATGTTGAGTTAGAAGACAGACTACATTAATTCAATTTTCTCGAAAATGAGTATGCAAGACTTGTAGACGTTCAATACAAATGTCAGGTGAAAAATCGGTATAAAAAACAACTGGGTCACTAAGCTGGGACCTGACGGATCACATTTTCTTACGGAAATTACTGCCTGTCACTATTAACAACATATTATCTTGCAGTGATTTGCTTACTTAGCTTCGAGACATTTTTAGCAAGAGTGCTAGTGTTGTCACCCAGTTCCCCAGACCGAAAAAAATTGAACTTGTGACTTAATATCTGAATGTCAAACACCATTTGTATTTAACTACTTCATTAACTACTCCATTCACACTGATTGTAAGTCTTTCTATTGAGCTTTTACGCAAAAAAGAAAAGACGTCGAATAAATTTAGTCCATTTCAATTCCAATCATTTCCATCGGATTGCACTAAATTATCTGTTGCCGGTGAACCGACTAATTTCTTCGCAAAATTATATAGTCTACACTATCGTGCTACTCGCTTCATTGTGTTATTTGAACATGTCACTAAAGTTGAATGACTCCGATATCGCAGTTAACTCAGTCAATCAGTCAGCAACAACATAGAAATTCGTAAGTACGTACATCAGTTCAAGTTGCCATACCTCATTAGCACACAGGTACAATTGTCGATTCAAACCCCAAAATGGTAGAGGTAGTAAAAGAATAAGCAGTCATCGGAAACACTAGGGTTTAAAGATGTTACTCAAGGAGTATAATCCAGTGAAATAAAGTTGAAAAGAGAAAAAGATAGGGACATGAAGGATTCAGAAGATTAGAATTTGGGAGAACACAAAGAGTGGATGCACCTGCGTCATTGCAAACGATTTTGAGCCATGTTATCTCACGGATCCCCGGAATCAGTTAATCTATATCTACCAACATGGTTCAGTCCACTTGTCAATGGCTTCATGGATTTGTGCCATTTTTTGGTCTGGCCGCCCCTAGTTTTCTTCCAATCTACTCCTACACCATAAAACATCTCACGTTGGGGCAATCGGTGGTTGGACATACGTAACACATGTCCCAGTCATCTCAACTGATGAAGTTTACAAGGATATTCACGCAATGTTTCGAAGACATCTATGATCACAGTTAACTGATTGAATGAAAACTAGACCTAGATTTCTTACTTTTTAAAACCACTCAATAGATTTATTCAATTTTATAGTTAAATACTATTTCTAGTAATCAATAGTTGTCCAAAGAGATTCGAATAAATCCTTTCATTTTAACATCATCATTGATAATATTCATCTATCATTCATATTTACAGACTATTTAAATATGAAACAATCTTTCCATCATTATATGTGAAAATTATATTTGAAATATTCTCAGCGATTGAAATTTAACTAATTCCAACGTTTCGTCCAGCTAACTTGTCTGGACTTCTTCAGGGCAATAATCAAATTTCAATCGCTGAGAATATTTCAAATATAATTTTCACATATAATGACTTCTCTATACTCGGCGCTCAATTACTGTCAAACTATTCGTTCTAATCTTGACGAATATTCGTATAAATCTTTCCATCATATTGTACTGATAGCAAATGTATTTCCTCGTTGTTTTTTTTTTGGGGGGGGGTGTCTTTTCTGTAATTGCATAACTTAACACAAATGTTAATCATATTGATCATTAAATCCGAACATTTACAGTAATGTCTAAAGACTATTCTGGTCAATAATAAAGATAATAATAATAATAATAATGATGATGATGATGATGATGATGATAATCATAGTAGTAAAGGAATTCTATACTTGAAAGAAATAAAGAAAGAAACATGCATCTAACTTCATTAGTATTTCTTTTATACATTTGGGAATTACATTGTTAGTTTTTTGTTAAAATGAAAATGATGTATATAATAATGTAGAGAATTAAATGAACTCAACTAATCTTTGTTTATACCTTCTATACACATTTCACCCTCAGGCTTCAAAAGTTCATTATAACTCTAATTATAATAATAATAATAATAATAATGTGTAACTTTTTTTTTAAAAAAAACTACAAGGTCACTCTCGAATAGAATTTTAGATTACCATTATTTGTATACATGTGAATTACAATTCCAATATAATGATGAATATATTATATACAATGTATGAACATAATTAAATCAGTCACGCAGTCCCGATGGCGTAACATCGTTCTATGTTGTTGTTGTTCTTGTTGGTTAGAAAGAAGTTGAATGTGACTCATTTTTATCAAATAATGAATCATTATTAATGAAATCTATTCACATTTAACTAGTAAACTAAATTCTATCCATTATATACATATATAATGTTTATTGGTCTATTTGATTGTAAAATTCTATGAACCTGTTATATCCTGATAAGCATAATGAATAGTAGTTGTATACTTGTATCTTCACTTTGTTGCTTAGGACTGCAATTGATCAGTCGCTTATTAGCATATATGCATCCTATACAGATTGCCTCAATATTGCCTTAAGTTACAAACATTCTAAGCAAAGATGTGGATAGTGGCCAGTGGTTCAGTCCAATACATGCTTCTTGTTTTATTTGGGACTCGTCAATTATTCACTCTGGCACTCGAACCCGGTACCGTTCGCTTCAAACGCCATCGTGTTATCGACTTAACTACTGATTCATTCATAAAAGTTAATATTAAACAGACATTTCTATCGACCTTTAGACAATTCACTTCAAAAAACGACGTATAATAAATAAATCTTTTTCTAATCCCTAATAAACTATACATTCGTATAAACAATCTGTTAGCTACAGATTCTTTATAATTGGTTGGTATTTCCTACTGCTCATATTTGATCAAATTTTTTTTATTTTATTTAATTCTTTAAAAAGAGAAAGAGAATAGGAAAAAGAAAAAAGGGAAACTAAAACCATATGACATTGACTAGTTCTCATTAATTGATGGGTGGATACAAAATGAGAATGACTATTATAAACATCAAAGTTATTAAATCAGTTGTTCTAATCCAAAAGAATATGTATTTATATGTATATTTCCCCAAGTAATTGTTATGTCCCGATAACCATAATGAATGGTAACTTTTGGGATCCATTTATGGACCAATACTATGTGTATATTTTTATTGTATAATTGTTAAATAACTAAACTATCCATATTCACATCCCTCTTATTATGAGCTTTGTTTTGACCTATGAACTGTTATTATACGATTTACCATTTTTGAATTATTCCCTGTCTATTAATTACATTCTTCCTCATTCACAGCCACATTTGGTGGAGTTTTGTTCTCTGAGCTAGATGGTTTGGTCGTGGAGCTTTCATCGTTCTTCTGAACCGATAGAAGTGAAGTTTGTGCTGATGATGTCTTTCAAAAGAACGATGAAAGCTCCACGACCGAACCATCCAGCTCAAAGAACAAAACTCCACCAAAATCATCCACCTGAGCTACAAATCTTCTCCACCATCTCACAGCCACATTTGGACAAATCTTGTACAAATGTTGTTTCATATTTTATAGTATGATGTGGTCTGTTTGATTGGTATCTAAACCCCATATGTTTTTGATAAATAATTCATATTGCAGAGGCTGAGATTGGTGTTCTGGACTTAACTAGCTGGGCTAGGCGGTAAGCAGGATCGATAAGTACTCTAGACTGCTCGCACAGGTTTTACACATCATTAGTCCGATCGATAATTCGCTGTTCTCTAATTGGCAGTATTGTTACGTTATACATTAACAGGGCATAAAAGCCCCAAACTATAACATGACCCAATCCTTCAAATCATTGTAGACATGACATAGAAAAGAATGCATAATGAAGCTACTATCATGTAAATTATCTTCAAAGAAAAAGAATGATAGTCTCGACAGATTTAACCTGTTCATTTGATAGCCAAACAAACGTATTGATAATTCATATAAATGATTGTCAACAGATAAATAAGAAACCTAATACAATAAAAAAATCATAGAGATTATTGTCAAAAGTTGTAATCATAAATAAACTTTTATCAAAGTCAAATAAAGTAGTAGCTAATTATTTTATTCTAAATTTTTCAGAAGTTTAAATGCCATTCGTTTAAAATAAAACTGAAGTCACAAACCGATTTTAGTCAGACAACTAATCAAAACTAAGGAACATAAGATTGTTGTTTCATTTAAATGACGGGATCTTCAACATTGCGTATCCACGATTCTACAGAACATCGAAATTAAGATCTTGAGATCTTTAAACCAATCCTTCACCTTTAGACTACTGTCAATTTTCAATATTCCAAAACCATCTTGCTTTATCTCTCATGGATAAGTGCTTCTAGTTTGAAGTTCATAGTGGTTACAGCTTTTCACTAGAACTACTGAAATTAGTTACTAAAGAGGCCTGTGGTCTAAGGGATAATTTTTTATCATGAGATATGAAACCGATTGATTGAATCCCTGGTAGGTTTGTGGGAGTCCCTTACTTACTCATTTATTGCTGTTAGCCGTCGTGGAGGAATATGGGCCGCCAACTATCACTCACTACCCAACTTTATCTTAAGCAATACTTTCCAGCTGTATGAGGTTGCTATTCATTCTCTTGATGTCTGCTTTCAATTCCCAAAGCAGTGTGTTCTTTGGTCTTCCTTTTTTACGATTCCCTTCAGGATTCAAAGTTAGCACTTACCTCGTGAAGCAGTTTGATGATTACTACAATGTATGTCCTATCTACCTCCAACTTGTCTTCGTAATTTCTTTTTCACATGAAAGCTGGTTTGTTCTCTGCCACAGTAAGCTGTTCCTGATGGTATCCGGCCAACGGAC